TAATCAAGGCAAAAGAGCACTCAATGATTCTGACTATGTGCATTGATTATAAAACTGTTGTAATTATATCATTGAAGAAGTCGACCACCCTGGCTTTAAAATCTTGATCAGGTTCACCATAATCACCCCATGTAGCGCCTTCCTCTTTAACTAAATTTAAGGCATCTTGAATCGACTTTCCACTAAGTTTTCCTATATCCTAATAATCAAAGTTTATAATTAAAAATATAATTGGAATAGTTTGACATTTATGAGAAAATATTTACGTGTTCTCGAAGTCGAAAATCTTCAGTGAATGGCGTGTCCGGATGATGTTTAACGATGGCTTCTGCTGTCTAAAAAAGAAAGTAAATTAAGATAATTGTTTAAACAATGACAAGTTTTCAAGAATTTATTCTCTTACTTTCTTTGCTCGGGACAAATCGCTAGTGTAAATATGATCAAATTTCATTTTACGTAACCGTCGTCCAACTATCTCTGCTTGTTCTTTTCCAGTTTTATTTAACTCTGAATCTACACGTAAAAATAAAAGTCGGTACTTTTATCATTCCCAAATATAACTTTAAAAAACATACGTACCCATATGTCCTTGTAAAATATGATTCAAGTTTGCGTTAGTTTCTCCATGTCTGACGACGGTAAAGTGTAACTGTGTGGCCATATACAGTATTTGATATATTTTTAATGTATATGTAGGTATTAAATATTGATATGAAAAGAAAAGAATTTCTAATATCGACGGTTTTACTGTCTCGTTACTTGAGTGCCGCGCAGTTAAGATGGATATCTTTTCTTAATGTGTGGGTTTTAAGGGTAGGCCGTTACGGGTGTGAACTTATTTGTGCGAGTGATACAAATCCAAAAAAGGGAAATTAGCCAATTGGAGAACGTAAAATGTGATCATCCCGGATCAGTCCAGCACGTGAGCGAAGCAAAGAAAAACACGAAAAAAAATGAAAAAAGCGAAAATACAAGAAACTGAGTGTTTAAACCTGTCTTTGGTCACTAATTAAAAGTGACGGAA